ATCATGTCTATACCCGGTAGGCTTAAAATGCCTCATACTGACTAGTCGTCAATTCTTATAGTTATATGTTATCTAAGTCGTTGTGTTGTGTTTCTTAATTGCTAGCCTATATCATTACTTTCAACATTACCTTCAAACTCGGTTTCAAAAATCTCTCGGCCTCGTTTTCTAAAATTTCCTTCTCAAAGCGAGACTAAAGGCGTGGGTATATGTCATCTGTCCAACGACTACACAATTTCAAATTGATTGACTCACTCAGTGGTGAGAATAAGTATCGCACAATGGCTTATGAACTTTTCGAATTGGTTAACTCACTCAGTTGATTTGTTGTATGTAAGAGCACGTTGAACGTTATGATGCACGTTTTTTGAAAAAGATATGGGTTGAGCTCCAATTCGAGCGAAACTAAAATAGTGACTAAGTATCCATGTGTTATGTCGCTACGTTATGTCTCTATTGTATATGTATGTGATTTTAGCGGTTATACAGGGGATTGTTAGTTAGTTTCCTCTTCGTGAACTTGCCACGAGCGATAGGGGTTTGCAGTAGTACCCTTAAGAGATGGCCAAATCTTAGAATGCATGAATCCCCTGAAATTGAAGGTCGTGTCTCGAGGGCCTACGATTTAGGGTGGGAACTATGATGATGATGAAAGAGACTAGTAGAAACAACTAATCATGAGGCCTGGAGAAGTTAACAAAATTCTAAGGGTCGAAGGTCGATATAGGTGGAGGAACTAAGAACGAACTATGAAATACCAGCAAGCTGCTTACTCAGTATATTTTATGTACTCAACTCTATTACTTCAGTTTTATTTTCAGGTGGAGCTTGATGTAGTGGTCCAAGCGGAGACACATGTGGGTTGTTGGCTATAGGTATTCCCGTCACACTTGAGTCTAGACCTCCTTTCATACTTGTTCTTTAAACCCTCTATTTTAATTAGTTTGAACTTCTGATATTGTATTTTGGTCGGTAAAATTAATATTTTATTATTATTTTAATTGAATTTGAGACATGTATGCTGTGTTTAAATGTTTTTAATTTTACACAATTTACTTATGTTCATATCAATGAGTAACGATTTGTGGCTCGAGTCCCTTAAAAATTACCGTTACGACCACTATACTAGTTTATGATGGATATGCTCAATTGTGTTCTTTTAACGTCAAAATAACAACATTTGTAGGTAATGATTCAAATCTCTAATATTTTGGTCGATTCAACCCCCGAGCTTGTAACCGAACTCTAAATAGGTCACTCTTTTTTTCTTTCCCTTTTTACCCTTTTCTCAACCATTTTAACTTTTATTATTACGACAAAACCGCCGACAGGAATATTTTTAGACAAAACACCTCATAAGTTCCCAAGATTCCGGAGGAAAACTAACTAACAAATTCTACTTCTTATAATTTACAACCACATTTACCGCTATTAGAGAAAGGCGGTAAGCTTCGCCGGAGAACTCTTAAAATTCCGATCCATGGAGGTTGGTCGGGTCGGCCAGGTAACGTGCGCCGCCTTCCTCATCGCTTGTTGTCTAACCGTCAGAACTTGTTCTGCGGTGGGTAAGAACAAAGGCCGGAACTTGCGCGCCGGATTCTATCAATATACCTGCCCGCAGGCGGAGAAAATCGCCGCCGATCTTACCAGCGCCGCCCTTGGTCAAGATCCGACTCTCGCTGCTAGCCTCCTCCGCCTGTTTTTTCACGATTGCTTTGTCAATGTAAGTTTTAGAATTCCTCACCTTTTAATTTTCATGGCTTGAAGATTTACATTCAAGATTTGGAACCAAATAGGGATGCGACGCTTCAATTTTACTGGATTCAACCCTTTCCGGCGAACCGATAGAAAAGGTATTATGTAATTTAATTTTAGATATAAAATTACTATATTTTATTTTATTTTTATTATTTTTTATTTAGTTAGTAATATATTTGGTATATTTTCTCTTATTCTTTTATTTTACAAATTTGATTTTTTTATTATTATTTTTTTCCTATTATAGCTTGTATCCTATTTAAACGTTGTGAACATCAATAATTTTACTTTTGATCTCACTTCGTTTCTCATTTTAAACAAAAGGCATCACTGGGGAACGGCAAAACTATGAGAGGCTTCGAATTGATCGACGAAATAAAGGCCAAACTCGAGAATGAGTGTCCCGAAGTTGTATCTTGCGCAGATATAACAGCCTACATAACAAGAGATGCTACCGTTTTTTCCGGTTTACCATACTTCAAAATCCCGGCCGGCCGTCGCGACAGTGTGATCTCACGCGCCGCCGATGTATTCCACAACCTCCCAACTCCGGCAATGACGGTCGATGAAATGGCGGCAATATTCACAAGAAAGGGAATGACGGTAGACGAAATGGTGACTCTAACCGGAGCTCACTCGATCGGAAAAGTACAATGCAGTGTTTTCGAAGACAGAATTTACAATTACAGCGAAACGGGAAGTCGAGATCCTAAATTGCAGGCGGCGTACGCTTCTTACCTGTCGGCGATGTGTCCGCCGGCAGATGCGGTTCCGGCGGATTTAGCGGCGGAGGGAGGTGATAGACTGGTGTATTTGGATCCGTCGTCGCCTTTCAGGCTGGATAATTCGTTTTATCTGAGGATGAGAGAAGGAAAAACCTTGCTGCAGTCGGACCAGAATATGGCGGATGATCCGAGAACGGCGGAGCTTGTCGGAAAAATGGCGGCGGAACCGAAGATGTGGATGAAGAAATTTACGAGGGCTCTGGTTCGGCTTAGTAGGGTGGATGTGCTCACCGGAAATGCAGGGGAGATTAGGAAGAATTGTCGGGCTGTTAATTTATAATATTTAAAAAAGAAAAAAAAAATCTTATTACATTTATTTTTAATTAATAAAAATAGCGTAGTTCAAACCATCTTAAAAAAATTTAAAAATACATTTACAGTTGGTACACGTTTTAAAAATACTCCACAACTTTTCGAAACAATATTAAAACATTTATAGATAATATATGAAGTGGCAATAGACGATTTTGTCCCTATATTGACGGTAATAATTTTTTAAAAACCTTTTTATTCATAAGGGTAGAGAGTGTCAATGTTAGTTTTAATATTTTACGAGTATTTTTTAAATATAGTACAAAACTTAGATATTTTTTTTTTAAATTAAAATAAGTTGAAAGTACTAATAAAACTCTTTAATGTTCAATAGTATATCGTTAAAAGTTCAAAGATATTTTTGAAACAAAGTACTATTTTAATAATGAAGATAATGTCCAACAATCCACTCTCTATATTTCACACTCGGAATTTCTTTGCTTGACACTTAATGATTTTATTAACATTACTAAATTATGATAAAGACATGATTCATATACCGTGTTAGAAACAACGGACCTCTATAATTATATAATATTGTCCACTTTGAACATGAACTTTAATAATTTTGCATTTTTTTGTTTTCTAATATATATATATATATATATAGAGCGGGGGCCATAGGTATTTTTGTCCCATACTTACCACTATTACATATACAGATGTCTATGGGGCAATGACTTAAAATGACGTTATTAGTGATTAGGATGCACGAATGGATTAAGTTTTGAAGAACGACATTAGGTTGACTTTTTGAACATTCTAACGATTTTTATATCTCAACGTAAGTTTGAAAGCATATATATAAAAAAGTTAAGGGTAATATTGTAATTTTTTTTAAAAATAAAAATATTTTCGATGTACTCTAAACGAGTAAGATAAAATTAAAAATTGATTAAACATATCTAATAGATTAAACCGTAGAATATAATAATTTTATTTTCAAGAATTCATTTATTTTATTAAAAAAAAAATATAACTCACCGCTTTTGAGAGGCGGGGCGGGCTTGAGGTCGAGAACAGGGATGGGGAATGTAATCTTCATCCCCGACCTCATTTAGCTCAAAAAAATATCTCACCGCTTTTGATATGAACTAAGAGAAATCAATCATACAATATACTTCAATGGAGATGTGAAGAAAATATTGTTGAAATAATCAAAAGATATTTCAATTCATGTCCAAGTTTCATATTATAAATTTTGGGTGAATTACAATAATAATTTAGAGTCATTAATGTATTTTAAAATTTTTATTTATTTTAGGTTACAATTACACGAGGATTAATTATGGTAATTAAATATGAAGGTTAAACTCTGCCTTGAATGGTTTCATTCTGAGGCTATATAAAGGTATGTATGTTGTATTTGTAAATAGACTTGGAAAATATATATAAAAGGAGCATTTGTGCTTTCTTTAGCCCATGGCTAAATTTATTTGCAATTCTATGGAGTGTAGGTTGCATGTAGAATCATTCAAGCTCGACATGATCAATCTTGCTTGTAGAGTGATTCGAATCTTAAGCAAGTGTTCTTGCGTTGAGATATTTGATCAACAAGAATCATTAATCTTGCTTGTAGAGTGATTCGAATCTCAAACAATGTTCTTGCGTTGAGATATTCAATCAACAAGGTAATCCAAATCTTACTCTCTTTGCAGTGATTTCCTTATCTTATTCGCTTTCCTTTTCTACTGCTTGTTTTTCTTTCTCTCAATATACATATATACATATATACATAGACACTTATAAATTAATTATTTTATTTATTCTATTCATAGTACGTTTAATTTGAACTTTTGACCTTTTGTTACTTGATAAATGACTCGTGATTATATTATTTTATACATTTCAACCATATACAACTAAGAAAACTACGTTATAATATTAAAATTTAAATTTTTAGAAATTATTTCTATAAAAAAAAAAAATAATAATAATAAATAAATAAATAAAAGGAACATTGCGATCACCATAGAAATAAATTAAATGCTCTTTTTTACAGAAATGGAAAATGAAATAGAACAGGAGGCTTCTCCGATCATCTCATTTTGGCGGGTTTCTGTAGCGGATTAATTTGTTGTCTTAGAAGAACACCCACCACTACTTATTGATTTCATTGTCCAAACTATGAACATCGAGCCAAAGAAACAGAGCCACCAAATTTCTTCAGCCTATCAAAACCATACTCTCTGTATGAAGCTGCACCACACTTTAGTTGCAACAACTTTATCTCTTCAAATTTCCAATACCCAAAAATCCACACTCCAAATTTCAGTGGCTCTGCTTCATCGTTACGTTCAATTTATGCTCAAAAAATCCCCTTCCCCCCCTCTCTTGTGCTGCGCTTGCCTCGAACGCAGGTGAGTTCCATTTCCCTACGCCATTTTGAATGCTACCCACCTCCGATTCTCCTAAACGAAGCTGTTGCCTTAATCTGATTGTTCATCGAGTTCTTGTTCTTCCCCTTGTCACTGTTAAATCTGCATTGCTCCTGTTTTTTCTGTTGATTTATTGATGAATCCGTGATGCTGTGGTTTAGGTTTGGTGGGTTTTGATCATTAGGCAATCGCTTCTCCTTTTGATTGTTCTATACTATATTAGATTGGCTGGTGATGAAATCAAAATCATGCTGTTTTGTTTTGTTTGTTCGTTGATTTCTATGTCGTTTTTGTTGATGTCTTGTTGTTTGGATGCAAGAATTCAGATATCAAAAGAGTTATAGGGTTCATGGTTTGTTCTTTTGTATAGATTAGACTGCTCTGAGCTGATTGAATCCATTTATATATGTTCTACTTGTTTATCTGCAATATTGGAAGAAGGGATTCTTGTTGAGCCCTTCTTTTCTAGTAATCATTCTTGTTCAAGGAGCTAGCTGCTAGAAATTTATGGTGTCTGTCATTGAACGTTTTTGTAACGTCCAAGCCCACTGTCAGTAGATATTGTCCTCTTTGGGTTTTCCTCTCAAGGTTTTTAAAACGCATATGCTAGGGAGAGGTTTCCACACCCTTATAAAGAATGCTTCGTTCTTCTCCCCAACCGATGTGGGATCTCACAATCCATCCCGTTCAGGCTCAGCGTCCTCGCTGACACTCGTTCTTCTCTTCAATCGATGTGGGATCTCATAATCCACTCCCCTTCAGGGCTCAGCGTCCTCGTTGGCACTCTTTCCTCTCTTCAATCGATGTGGGATCTCAAAATCCACCCCCCCTTTAGGGTCGAGCGTCCTCACTGGCACTCGTTCCTCTCTTCCATCGACGTGGGATCTTACAAACCACCCCACTTCAGAGCCCAGCGTCCTCGCTGACACTTGTTCCTCTCTTCAGTAGACATGGGATCTCATAATCCACCCCCCCTTCAGGGCCCAGCATCCTCGTTGGTACTCGTTCCTCTCTTCAATCGACGTAGGATCTCATAATCCACCCCTACTTCAGGGCCCAGTGTTCTCGTGGGCACTCATTCCTCTCTTCAATCGACGTGGGATCTTACAATCCACCCATTTTCGGGGCCAACGTTCTCGCTGGCATTCGTTCCTCTCTCCATTTGATATGCGATCTCACAGTTTTCAGCTGTTTTCTGTGGATTCGTGTTTGTAAATCTCCAGTAAACATAAAACTATTAATTGGATTCACGAAACTCAGCCCCAAATGTTGATATAAAGCTCTGATACCATGTCAAGCCATTATGAATCTAAATGCTTTATGTAAAACTTACTTTGATACTTGATAGTTCATGGTGCGTTTACCCTTTCAGTATCTTCTAAAGATCTCCATCATTTGGTTTCTTATTTGTCAACCTGTCTCTCCTTTTCAATTTCAGGTTCAGGGCAGATCTTGTTTTGTTGGTAAATTCAAGCTTGTTCTTCACTGTATTGGAGTAACAGCTAAAAGAAGTTCAATAAATCATGTCACACAAGGCACTCGACTACGAGTCGATTAACGAAAATGTGAAAAGGACTCAGTATGCTGTCAGAGGAGAACTATACCTGCGAGCTTCTGAGCTTCAGAAGGAAGGGAAAAAGGTATAACGTCTTCATCTAATCAGATATCTGTTAATCAAACAATTCCTCTGCTGTTTATAAGATTTCCTTTGGTTCTTTAGGAGCTCAATTATTTGGTTACCTGTGATAATGAACTTAGCATAACCAATCCCTTCTCGAGCTTAGAGAATTTAAGATCCGATGTTTAAACCTTCATCATTTCCTGTTTCGACATCGTTCGGAGTAACTTTCGTTCTTGGTTGATTCAATACTCTATCCTATACACTTCTATTGCTCATAATCTCAAATATTTCTGCAGATCATTTTCACTAATGTTGGGAATCCTCATGCTCTTGGACAGAAGCCATTGACTTTTCCACGTCAGGTTCGTTACTACCGCCACTTTCATTTGCTCGAGTTTGATTTTTTTGTTGGTTAAATTACACGTTTAGTCCGTAGACTTATAAAGTTATAAAATGTGTTTAATAAGTCCTTGAGCTTTCAATTATCTCTCCAATAAGTCTACGATAGGTCGGAATAAACACAAATTTGAAAGTTTAAGAACTCTAAACACAAATTTGAAAGTTCAAGAACTCTTACTTTTACAGGTTGTTGCTCTTTGCCAAGCTCCCTTTCTGTTAGAAGATCCTAATGTAGGATTAATGTTTCCCGCCGACGCCATTGCTAGAGCCAAACATTACCTCTCGCTGATTCCGGGAGGCCTAGGTACTTTCTTAATTTGCTTTCACGAGTTAGAGTGATTTAGGATTTAATCATTGAATGATATGTTAAGGATTGTTGGGAAGGAGTCCCGCATTAACTAATTAAGGGATGATTATGGATTTATAAGCAAGGAATACATCTCCACTGGAATGATGCCTTTTGTGAAAACTAAAATGAAAGTCACGAGAGCTTATGCTCAAAGTGGAGAATATCATACTATTGTGGAGGTTCATTCAATTGATTGGAGTTTAATCCTTCTGAAACACTTCTAGGTGCTTACAGCGATTCCCGAGGAATTCCTGCAATTAGAAAGGAAGTAGCGGAGTTTATAGGAAGGCGAGATGGCTATCCAAGGTTAGTGATGATATTGATGATACTGATTTGAATCTCGTGTGTCATATGTGTGCGAGTTAGGTTCAATGACCTCAAATTGCTCATTGTGTTCGTTCCTTGTGTGACAGCGATCCCGAACTCATATACCTCACGGACGGTGCTAGTAAAGGTGTAATGCAGATATTGAATACTATTATCCGTGGCGAAGGGGACGGGGTACCATTTCTTCACTAACCATGAGCTCGGAGCTCATGGGTGCTTTTTGTTTCAGAAAATGTTTATTTGTCTTGTTGTTAAGTTTTAAATTGATATCTTATCAGATTCTAGTCCCAGTTCCTCAATACCCTCTTTACTCGGCTGCCATTGCGTTGCTTGGGGGCTCTCTTGTTCCATACTACCTAGAAGAGACTGCAAATTGGGGTCTTGATGTTAATGATCTTCGCCAGTCGGTTGCTCAAGCTCGCTCTAAAGGAATTAATGTTAGTCCATTTTTTATATTTGTTGCGTCGTTTTTGTTAGGTCATGGAGTCTGCTGCTTATTTATAGCTCAGTCAATGGTTATACATACTTAAGCTATATATGGTAAATGACGTAAATGGTCATAAATAGTAAATCGAGATGTATGGTAAAAAGTTATATATGGTAGATAGTTATGTACACTAAGTGACTCTGGTAAAACTATATGTAGTAAACTGAACCATATATGACAGTGCTTTGAAAATGTACTTTCTGCCGTCTCTGTATTCTCTCCTACTGTACATACCTGAGGTCCTATTCTTTGTGTTAATCTAGATCGAGTGTGTGCGTTATTATACGATCCTAATAGTTTTTTCATGAAACATGAAATTAGGAATAGAAGTTTTCGGTTTTCGAACTTTGAAACCGAGTTATCGTAGTCGATCTTGCATTCATAGCTCATTAAACATTGATATGCCAAGTTTTGATATTCCACACATTCACATATCTGAGTGTGTTCGTATGGCTGAAATCATACCGATAACTCGTATCTTATATGTCGGATTTTGGTTAGGTAAGAGCAATGGTGATCATAAATCCTGGAAACCCCACCGGGCAATGCCTTAGTGAAGCCAATCTGAGAGAGATACTCAACTTCTGCTTCCGAGAAAACTTGGTCTTGCTTGGAGATGAGGTGTATCAGCAAAACGTATACCAAGATGAACGCCCCTTCATTAGTTCTAGAAAGGTAAATGGTGATAATATCTATTAACAGTGGGCTTGGACTGTTACAAATGATATCAGAGCCATACATCATGTGGTGTGCCAGCAAGGACACCGGGTTCCCAAGGGGGTGTGGATTGTGAGATCCCATATCGATTGGAGAGGAGAACAAAGCATTCCTTATAAGGGTGTGGAAATCTCTCCCTAGTGGATACGAAAGCCCAAAGAGTACAATATTTGCTAACGGTGGACTTGAATCATTACATCAACTCAATGATCTGATCCATTGTATCTCTCAGGTACTACTCCATATGGGTCCACCCATCAGCAAGGAACTGCAGCTTATATCGTTCCACACCGTGTCAAAAGGATACTGGGGAGAATGTGGACAACGTGGCGGATACTTCGAGATGACCAACATTCCTCCAAAGGTTTGATTACTTAACAACCTCACTCTTCAATTCAATAACCTCTCAATATTCTATAACTCTCACGTAAGATTCGATCTCCGCCTCTACAGACAGTCGATGAAATATACAAGGTTGCTTCTATATCACTTAGCCCGAACGTCCCGGCTCAGATATTCGTGAGTCCACTCAACATGTTCCATGCTTGTTTCTTAACGTTTAGATCTAGCACACTTGAATTGTCTGACTTCTTTGCAGATGGGGTTGATGGTTAACCCACCAAAGCCAGGTGATATCTCATATGATCAGTTCATTAGAGAAAGGTATGGCTGTTTGGCTGTGCAAGATCATAGTTTTCATTAGTTCAATTGTTTTGATATCACTTTTGGGGCACTGCAGCAAGGGGATCCTCGAGTCACTGAGGAGAAGAGCTAGAATAATGACTGATGGGTTCAATAGCTGTAGGAATGTGATATGCAACTTCACTGAAGGTATGCTTTTGGGCACTCCCAGACTGTGATTACTGTAAGATTTGATGAAGAAAATGAGTGAATTTGTTCACAGGTGCTATGTATTCGTTCCCACAAATACGCCTCCCACCAAGAGCTATTGAGGCTGCCAAAAAGTTGGGGAAAGTGCCTGATGTTTACTACTGTCTTAAGCTCTTGGAAGCCACTGGAATCTCCACTGTTCCTGGTTCAGGCTTTGGGCAGAAAGAAGGGTAAGATCATAAACACTTTAACTTAACCGTCTTCTAGAATCTGAATATCTCGAACACGATCGTCTTGTATCTCGGCAATGTACTTAAGGTCATAAGCACTTTAACTGTAATAGCCTAAGTCCACTGCTAGCAGATATTGTCCTCTTTGGGGATTTTTCTTTCGGACAAGGTTTTTGAGACATGTCTACTAGGGAGAGGTTTCCACACACTTATAAAGCATGTTTCTGTTCTCCTCCCCAACTAATGTGGGATCTCACAATCCACTTTCCTTCGGGGCCCAGCGTCCTCGCTGACCCTCATTCCCTTCTCCAATCGATGTGGAGCCCCCCAATACACCCACCTTCGGGGGCCAGCGTCCTTGCTGGGACACCGCCTCGTGTCCACCCCCTTTCAGGGCTCAGGTTCCTCACTGACACATCGTCTGGTGTCAGCTCTGATACCATTTGTAATAGTCAAAGCCCACTTCTAGTATATATTGTCCTCTTTGGGCTTTCCCTTTCGGGCTTCCCCTTAAAGTTTTTAAAACCTGTGTTAAGGAGAGGTTTTCACACCCTTATAAAAAAAATTCGTCCTCCTCCCCAACCAACGTGGGATCTTACAATCCACCTCCCTTCAGGAACCAGCGTCCTTACTGGCACATCGCCTCGTGTCCAACCCCTTCGGGGCTCAGCTTCCTCGCTGGCACATTGCATGGTGTTTGGCTCTGATACCATTTGTAACAGCTCAAGCCCACCGCTAGCAGATACTGTCCTCTTTGGGCTTTTCCTTTCGAGTTTCTCTTCAAGGTTTTTAAAACGGCTCTCTTAGGGAGAAGTTTTCATACCCTTATAAAAAAGTGTTTCATTCTACTTCTCAACTGATGTGAGATCTCACAATCCACCCCCTTCTGAGCCCCAGCGTCCTTGCTGACACCCGTTCTCTTCTCCAATCGATGTGGAACCCTTCAATCCACTCCCCTTCGGGGCTTAGCATCCTTGCTGGCACATCACCAAATGTATGGCTCTGATACTATTTGTAACAGCTCAAGGTCTTTAAAACGCGTCTACTAGGGAGACGTTTCCACACCCTTATAAACAATGTTTCGTTCTCCACCCCAACCGATATGCGATCTCACATTAACCGTCTTTTAGAATCTGAATATCTCGAACACAATCCTCTCGTATCTTAACAATGTACGATATTACTCTGTTTTGGCTGATTCTTTGATACAGGGTGTTCCATTTGAGGACAACCATTTTACCAGCTGAGGAAGACATGCCTGGAATCATGGAAAGTTTCAAGAAGTTCAACGATGCATTCATGGAGGAATATGAAGATCATAGGGGCTATTCAAGAATGTGATCGAACGGATCGGGGGCAGCTTCCGAGTAGCGTTCCGAATTCATGATATACTCTTCCATTACTGTAAAGCTTTTGCAAGCGTACATATTTATCCTTATCGTAAGAACTTAAATGTTCTATTGGATTGAATGATCATATTTTACTCTTGTTCTTCAAAAAAATTATTGGATTGCACTTTGTAAGCGATGATCAGGGAGTTTAGCTGTAGAAGGAAGAAGCAGCTTTTGGCGAACACCGTTGGCAGCTCTCGTGGCTTTGCTTTGGGCTTCCCCAAAAGACCTCGTACTAATGTTAGCATTCCTCACCTATAAACCTATGATCATTCCCTAAATTAGCCGATGTAGGACTTTCATCATCCAACACTTTCCCTCGAACAAAGTGCGCCTCCCTTTAATCGAACTTCTTCAATTGTCTAATCATAAATAAAATTCATATCAAGATTATATTAAAAATTGTGAATGTGTCCGACAAATTATAATTAAACTATATAAATATTTGCGTACGTGGCTTACAAGTGAATATTAAAAGTTGACCGACGATTAATAAATTAATATAATTAAACTAATTCACTTGAGTCAACGTAATTTAAATTAAAAGTAAAGTAAATGACGAATCAAATTAAAACAACATTCCAAGGTTAAAATTTAATATAATTATTATTTTTAATATGTTATATATTTTATTATATCATGCGTAACAACAATATAATAAATAATAACAAAAATAGAAACTGTGCTATTTCTTTTTTAAAATATATAAAATATAAAGTTTAATTATTTTTATTTCAAAATAGAAAAAGAAAACAAACCATATTTGGCATCCTATTTGAAGATAAGTTTCAAATCGCAACAAAATAATTTATTTTACATAAAAATAAATGTAATATTTATACCTTTGTCATATCTAATATTTGTTTATTCATATAAATTTGAGTCAAAATTTTAATATAAATGTCGGCATCACTTTATTTAGTCCAAATGTGAAATAATTAGTTATTCTAATAATAATGACTTTCCTTCCTTATTATTAATAATTATAATAATAATAATAAAAAATAATAGCTGTCTATGAAATAAATTATAAATTTACATAAAACACGTTTAATTTGCAACAACGTAATTTTTTTTTATGAATATTGTATATAATTAAATATTTTATGATTGGATTTAGTCAGAGATGTTCATTTAATTTATGAAACATTATTTTCATTTAGAAACCGAAAGAAGAGGAGGGAGAGAGAAGAAATTTTTTTTTCTGCTAAACAAAGACAGAGATCGAGATTATGCTCTCCATTGCCTTCCCGGCACCGACCAAGCTAAATTCTTGCTTATATATATATATATATATATATATATATATATATATATATATATATATATATATATATATCAAAACTAAGATACAAAAAATAAATTATTATAATACTTAATATTATATATTTTTTCTTTAATAAATAATTATTTTTACTGAAGTTTTTATTATAATATATTTTATTTATGAAATAATATTTTTTAATATAAATTATACTTGAAAAATATTTATTAATTCTCGCACGCGTGAAAATAGATCAATAATTGAGTCTTCCATTCTCAAGGCTGGACCGGAGAAAGACGGTCAGAAATAATGGCTTGCCCGCCCAAATGGTGACACGCCGCATCCAAAAATTATATTTACAGATCTGACGACACGTGGCTTGAGGTGCTGGTTGGAATTTGAATTTATAAATTAATTTCAATTAAATCAATCTCATTTATTATTAATTTTAAAAAATAAAAAATAATATATACTTGTGGTTATTCAATTTAGATTTTTGTTTTTTTTGTATTTATCATTTAAATAGTGTATTTTAAATAATTTGAAGGGGTATTTTGTGGCCTATTTTTATTACTATTTTAATTAAATTTTAGGTGCATAGGCACGTGTTTAAATTTTATGCATTTATACTTATTTCCACGTCAGTGAGCAACGGTTCGTGGCTCGAGTTTCTCGAAAAGTGGGTTGTTATAGAATTACTTGCCATGAATATATGAATGGACACAACTTATCCTACCGTATATAAAAGATCAACCATGAATCTACCGTATAAATGAAAATGGATTAATTAAATATAAAAAATGTAATTAATTTTATATAATTTTATATTTAAAATGTTTAGATTTTAAAGGATTTAAGCTGATATTTAATATATTAAATATAAATAAAAAAATAAATTTAATTTGAATGGTTCACAATATTTAATATATTATACATTTTAAATATAAATAGAAGAAAAAAATTTAATTTGGAGAATTTAAATGATTTGGATGGGAGAAAGGAAACGGTTGGCCTTTACTTCGGTTTTAATTTATATAGCACGTGGTCCAGCAAACTAAGACCAATATAGCACATGGTCAAGCTGTCTAAGCCAATGTTGAGCCGTTCATGCCACATGAGGCTGACCTTGGTTCGTATTAAGGCCAACACCTTAACACATGAGATGGCTCTTAGGGTTGCTCAAGACCATTATTCTAATTTCAAGACAAAAATCAAATTGAATTTTAAAAATAATTACATTTATCCACGTCATTACTCCCTAAAAATCTCATAAAATTTAAATATAAAATTTTCGCCATTCATAGTGATGACTGATTTAATTAATATTAATAAAAAATTAAATATTTTTAAAATTTTGTAATAATACTAGAAATATGATAGGATTCTAACTATACCCGTTGTTTGGGTTGATCCAGAACAAAAAAAAGTCAACTTGAACCATTAAAATTTTCGATTTCTCAAAAATTCAACTCAAATCCAACGAAAAAAATTCAACTTTTATGAGTTGTGTTGTATGGTTCAAATGGTTAAATTTATATTTAATGGAAGAAATTGTGTTCTAAAATAGGCTAGATTAATTAAAAAATATATATATATATATATATTAGGTAAAAGTTTCAATAATATTCTTAAATTCCGAAGAAAAAACAAAAATTTTAAAATACCTGAACAAAAACGTGAATACTTTATTTAAAAAAAACTTTAAAATTTTTAACAGTATTTCAAAAATATCCTTGAATTTAACACAATTTCATTAATATCTTTTTAGAGAATATACTATTTAAAAAAAATGCCTATCAAATTAAAAAATAATAATATTAAAATTATTTATTTTTATTAAAAAATTATTAATTATTTATTCACCTCATCTTTCTCATTAAAATTTTTGGTAGTGGATGAATATAATTTATATTATATAATAATAATATTAAAAGTTTTGGAAATTTATAAATATAGATAACATTTACAAGTCCATACATATCCCACCGTCCAAGTAAGCCGCCACAGCCACGATTTTCCAGCACAGCTCACCCGCCGTCGCAAGCTGCCAACCGTTTCATTAACACGCTGTCACTTCTTATTTCAACGCTCAAAGATCTTTCCTCCGCCGCGCCCAATCTCTCCGACTATGACGGATTTCTCTCAGCCACTTCTTCCGCCGACAGACAAAACCAAATGGATCTCCTCACCGGAATCCAACCGGGAACCCACGGCGGCCATTTTCGCTCCCGACGCCGACGACATCCCTCCGATCAACAACGCACGTGATTTCTACACACAGTTTCGTATTGAATCAAAGAAGCTATGGTACTTAGCAGCTCCGGCGGTGTTCACGTCCGTTTGCCAATACTCTTTTGGCGCCATCACTCAACTCTTCGCCGGACAAGTCAGCACCGTCGCCCTCGCCGCTGTTTCCATTGAAAACTCCGTCATCGCCGGTTTTGCCTTCGGCGTCATGGCACGTGGCTTTTTATATATGAAATTAATTGCGTATTAATATTAATTGTTAATGAAAAATTAAAAAAATGATTAACTGCAGCTTGGGATGGGGAGCGCGCTGGAGACGCTGTGCGGGCAGGCGTACGGCGCCGGCCAGCTTGATATGATGGGAGTGTACGTGCAAAGATCGTGCGTGATCCTCATTTCAACGGCTATGATTCTGACACCATTTTACGTGTTTGCGACACCGGTTTTGATGGCGATTGGACAGACGGCGGAGGTGGCAGAGGCGGCCGGAGTTATGTCGGTTTGGATGATCCCTCAGCTGTATGCTTACGCGCTCAACTTTCCGATCTCCAAGTTCTTGCAAGCTCAGAGCAAGATGATGGCCATGTCGGTCATATCCGCCGCCGCTTTGGTATGCTTAAATTTTAATTTAAATTACACAAACAAATTCATTTATTTATTTATTTTTATTTTTTATTTTTGGTTAGATTATAAATTTAGTCCCCACTTTGAAAACCGTATTTATTTCTATAGTAAATGTAACGGTCCTTTTTTGTCTTTTTCTTTATGACTTTTCGTTAGATTTTTAAAACGAGTATGTTATGGATAAGTTTCCACTTATAAAAAAATGTTTTATTTTCTTATCCAATCTACGTTAGATCTCACAGTCCACTCATTTTTTAGGCTCAGTGTCCTTGCTTGTACTTTCCATTCTCGGGAACCCCTAATCCACCCCTCCTTCCAAGCTCAGCCTCCTCGCTCACACATTGACCCGTGTCTGACTCTAATACCATTTTGTAACAAACTCAAGCCTACTGCTAGCCGATATTGTCTTTTTTGAGTTTTCCGTTTCTGACTTCCACTCAAGGTTTTCAAAACGCATCTAGGAGATATTTCACACCCAGAATGTTTCGTTCTCCTCCCCAACACGAGTGAGATTCGACACTAAATTTTAAAATTTTTAAAAATTGATTGATACAAAATTAAAATTTCAAATCCTATTATATATAAAATTTAAAATTATATTTAATAGAAGGTACGAAATTAAAAATTTATTGCATTTTTAAAATTTGATGATTAAATAAACCCGGGTTAGAGAGACTAGTTTTGTAATTCAACCTTTTCTTTTTATCGATCTCCAATAGGTATTCCATGCGTTCTTTAGTTGGTTGCTGATGCTAAAGCTAGGGTGGGGCCTAGCGGGAGGTGCAGTTATACTAAACGCGTCGTGGTGGTTGATTGTGGTGGCTCAAATTGTTTATATTATGAGTGGGAGTTGTAGGGAAACTTGGACGGGTTTCTCGTGGAGAGCATTTCAAAGCCTTTGGGGTTTCGTCAAACTATCTCTAGCGTCGGCAGTGATGCTCTGGTACATTTCATAATAACTAAGATTTATTAACTAATATTGAAAATTTATTTGAAAAGAC